CCCCCCCCCACTCCATACATTGTTACGTGTACTATGGATGTGGTAGAACACACACCATGAACGCCACAGCCACGTGGCACATGGAACTCATCTGTACGCTGCCATCTCTTCCGGGACCGTGCCAGCCCAAACCTTTGAGCAACTTCCAACAGCCATCATTTTAAAAAAAAAACCAAAAAAACCACCACCAAAAAAACCCAAAAACAACAACCTAGAGAAATGTCTGGTTTTATTTGTGTTCTTTTCCTCCTACCCAAAGGCTGACTTCTGGGCTGTTCAAAGCCCAATCCTAAGCACCAGCCTGGACAGGCAGCAGAACGCCTGGGTCTGCAGCAAGCTGAGCTGGTTCCTCAGACAGTTGCATATTGCCTTGTGGAGCCAGGCACCCCACTGCAATAAGGCAAGCCTCCTGCCCCAGATTCCCAAAATTCAGCCCTCCTCCAAGAACTGCTGCTTCAAGGACCAGGTAAATAGACTGGTGCCTTCTCTAACTGCTTCATAACTGGCTCCTGGTGCAGATGTTCCCTATTTGAGCTTTCCTGGCGTGAGGTATGTGTGTAGGTGTTTACAGAGCTGAGAAACAGCCCTCTACATTTGTAAGTGTTGGTACGGGGGGGACTGGGGCAGGTAGATGGGCAGTTCACCGACTCCCCCCAAGTACAATTCCATTCGTGCCATCATCTCTCTCTGGTCAAGATTAGTACCTATACAATCATGGGGTGACCTGGATCCAGGCACGTAAGGGATAGTTCCTTAATATTCCCACACCCGAGCTCTTTGCTGGGATCCTGTATTATGCTACAGGAACGCAGCACCCCAGAGTATCGATTCGGTCTGCCTCCCACTGGCACGGCTATGGCATCTCTACGGACAGGTGGCCACGTTCTAGCTCCTGTCCAGAACATACTGCCACCCCAGGGCAGCATGGAGAGGCACTGCTTATTCACCTCCCATCACATAAGCAAGAGGCTCTTCTGGGTGTGCTCCTGGCACTTCAGGCCATCGGAACAGCCAAAGAGTCCTGGCACACGTTCACTGTGAGAGCTGCAGCCCACAACATACGCTATGCTGCACTTGACATTCTACTGTTTCTTCCCCCCCGCCCCCCCATTTTTTGACTACTTTGAATAATTTCATCAACAGTAACTTAGGCTCATTTTTCCAGCTAAGTTAGAAACATGCTGGGACACACAATCACTACAGTCAAAACAGAGGTGGCCCCCCATTGTAAGAGGAGTCAGTTGTTCCTAACTTTGCATTAGTCATTAAACCTCAAGGGGATCTCACACCGTGAGGACTCAGATTTTTAAAAAGCTCTGTAAAGCATCCTGACAGAAGTTTTTGGACACTAAAGCACACTACGGCAGACAAAGCTACAACCCCTGTGACTTCTTCATTGAACCTTGAGTTGTGAGATACTTGTTCCTCTGGACAACTCTTTTGCATGCTGTCACATCCATCCCAAGGCTGGATTCCAACCTTTCTCATAGTATCAGACTTACTTGTCCAGCACAGCCGGAATCAGCTATAGTTCCTCAGATCATTCCTGCAACAGGCTGTAATACCTGAAGTCAAAAAAGTGAACTGAATGTTCGGAGTTAATTAGGAAAAGAAAGCGCAAAGAAAGCATCAGTATCTGTAAATCCATGACGCATCTTCACCTTGAGCACTATGTGTAGAGTAGTTGCAAGGGTTGCACAGTGGCTGCCAAGCTTTTCTGCAAATACATTTTTGGGTAATGTTTATCTACTTCATTGTTCATTGCATTTTGATTCTTCTGTAAACTAAAAGCTCCAGAAGAAGTCAGGGGAAAGGAGATTCTTATGCGATTGCCCATTACTTCCCATGAGAACCTGCCCAGAGCATCCGAGCCTGCAGGTGCAGGGCCATGAGGATAAGACTGTCAGACAGTAAGGGAGAAATGACACCTGAGGTGAAGGGTTACAGAATGGCAGTTACATCACTACAGGTGTGAAATTTGGATTCTTAACCACAACATGCTTCACTTTCAGCTGCACTGAATTCACCATTCCATCCATCCATCAGTCAGTCTTCATCCCTACCAGTCAGAGTAAGCCAGTATGGACCAACTGCCCAGCACTAATCTACTGCCTTTCCTAAACAGGACACAATAACGCTAAATAAATGGCTCCCAGCTGGACTCCATGTGAAACGCCTGGAAAATCTAACCGTTTACTCTTTTTCCCCCATCCTCAAGTGTATAAAAGGGATTCCCTCATTTCATGGGATCACTCACCCAGAGTGCTTAAAAGCTTTTGGCACAAAAACCTGCCAAATGCCTTCTGGAAATATATTTGTACAAATGTACAATACAAAACCACTGACCTTCTCCATATCCCTATGGACTCCTTTTGTTTACCTCTAAGCAATTTTTGACACCCGACACACATCAAGATCACCGATACAAACCAGAATTCCTGCCTATCGACCAGAATGAAAAACAAGTTAGAGAAGTTGCAGAGGAAAACTTCAGCCTTGCTCATTCCACTCCTGATGAATACATGCCAACACCCCTAGCCATAGCCAGACTCTGCCATTTATACCCAAGAACAGAGCTCTGTGAGATGGCCAAAGGAAAGCAGCTTCTCACTAAATACTGAGCTATGCTAAGAGGAGACACCAGGACTCAGTGCCAAGAAAGGTAGCCCACAATATCAAAGGGGCCATGAATATCAAAATTGTTAGCCATAGTAGCAAGGAGCTTTGAGCTGCTTAGAGGCTTCCCCAATGGCAGAAGGAAGGTGAGCTGTCTGGAAATGACAGCCCCTGGCTCAGTTACCATTCTTGACAGACCAGATGGCAGGACCCCTATGATCCTATGGCAATCCCTACTTAGAAGTTTAAGGAGTATCCTTTGATCAACTGAAACTTAGAAAACCTTAACATCCAGACAGTAAAACAAAAATAGACATTTACTTAATTTTCTACCAAGCCTGAAGCGCCAGAGCTCTGCCTACACCACCTTCAGGAGAGCACTCCTCAGGAGTACCCAGCTGTGCCGAAGCAAGGGGCTGCCACAAACCCTTAGGGTGGGAAGTGGAGGTATTTCTGTGCCTTCAGTACACCTTTAACAGGCAAGCAGAAGAAAGGCAACTGAACTGAGAGATGAGCGAGCAGCAGCTCTGTTCAGAAGCAAGTTACTAACTTCTACCTGAAAGCAGTATTTACAGCTCCTTTTTGTCAGGATCACTCCCTGACAAGGGCAGAGCTCTTAATTAGCAAGCTCCCAAATCTGTGAAACCTGACTGAATGGAGTAACTGATTAGAACTGTGATACTTAACCTCTGCCTCCAAGGTAACTCAAGATGAGGTGTTTTAAATCTTTTTTGATTTGTTGACTTGCAAGAGTTTCCCAGCACAGGTAGCTAACTCCTGTAGAACAGATTTAAGTCCACTGGCAACAGCATGCTTTTCTAGGCTGTTTCTGGCAGATGCAGCACAGATGCCACCAGGAATCTGCAGACAACAGATCAAATGTTCCAATTTTCCAAGTTGTTTCCATCAGAAGCCCCTGGACTGACTTGGAGAAACTCCAGTTTTAATGAGAGCTAATCACTTCAGAATCACCAGCCCCATGGGGACAGCTGCAGGTCAGGGCAAGAGAGGAGCTGACAGCTTCCAACCAATTCTATGGCACGTAAGCTACTAGATTTTTAGTACTGGACATACAAGGGGCTCTTAAGTCTACCTTCAGTAGAAACACCACTCTTTAGCAAGGTTGTGAAAAGAGAGTGCAGTGCCATGTATATGCTGAAACAGACTCCTGTGTGGCACAACACCGATGCATTATTTAAGGCAAAATAATCTCTAATATCCAAGAGCCACAAGAGTAAATACTGTGGGCTAACTTGAGGGCCTCAGTCAGCATCACAAAACAAGAAAGCACAGCCAAAGAACTGGAAAATATCAGCAAAGGGATGGAGAACATTCCTTATTTGTAACGTTATTTGTCAGTTTTCATAATAATACTTAGTTTACAAAAAAGTTGGGTTTTGTAGCCTCTTCCTTGGGCTAGGCCTGCAGAAACAACATCAGAAGGTCCAGATGCCTGTAACCCAAGTGCAGCTCGATACTTCACTGCTTAGGAGCTTCCTGGAAAGTAGGGACCAACACTGCTCATGTTAAGCTAAAAAGACAAAACAGAAAGGAGATTTAGCACAAGTGCCAGGGAGTGCAGAAGGCATTTCAAAACACCAGTACAGTCAGTTCTCAACCTCCAATTACAAAGGCCCAATAGAAATTTCCCTTCCGGGAACATAAGGGTCTGTGAGAAGAGGGAAACAGACCTCGTGGCTGCTAACAGCCAGCCATAAGAACAGACTGGTCAACTGGCAAAGGAAGACAGACATTCAAGGTAGTTATCAAAAGCTCAGAGCAAGTCTAATTATGGCTCTGTCATGCTCAGACACAGGAAGCTTTTATACAGGAACCGTGAAGGGGCAGCAGAGAACTCTTTCAAAGAGTTCTTCGTTTAAGGAATTCCTTATTCTTTCCTTATGCCATAAACAATTCCTATACATTCTTGTGCTAACCGAGAACTTGGCCACGAAGTTTCAATGGCTTAGGTAGCTCAAGAACACACCTCTAGCATCACAGCAATGATTGTAAGAGCTGTAATCAGATGAGAGCCCAAATGAAGTTCACATGGGACATTCATCTATACATATGCCTAAACCTTGTAAAAAAATGTGCACACATTAATGAATGGGGAAGGTTGTGTATCACTACCACTCCGGGCAGAAAACAAGAAAACCTGCCCTCCCGTTAAAAGGTAACTTGGACAAAGCCTTTGACAGAAAGGCTTTAAAAAAATATAAGACAGCGGCTTTAAATTAAAAAGATTTACGGCAGCAGTAGACCAGCTACAAAGTCTTTTTGGCTCCAGAAATGGTTGTAGCAGGCATTTGAAATAATTTTATAAGTTACAGCATCAAAAGCCAAGATGTCAAGCAAAGTCATTGGCATTTTAACTGGTAAACAAGACTTCTTTAAAAAAAAGTTACCATTCATGTCATAGCTAAGCACTGAACAGCTAGGAAAAAAAAGTATATGAAAGTTGAAATGGATACTGTTTCTCACAAAAAGTACTGTAACTGCAACAAAAAACTTTACACTTTCCATACAGTACTAAGCAGGCTCATCAGCTACAAGGAAACAAACCCTTCTGCAGTGAAGTAGTTGTAAGAAATCCAACAAAAGGAAAGTAAAAAAAAAATAGACAATGTTGGGTGTTTTTTTTTTTCTTTTTTAAAGGCAAAATCAATTGTGAAAGCAGCTAGTTTTCTAGTAAAATCTTGCCTGTTTTGATCACGATTATACACAGGCCTGGATCCTACTTACCTGTCAATCAAGGAATCTCTCATGTTGGTAGCAATGGTACTTGGCTGAGCTTCATTCAGCTTGAAAATACTCTCGATGACAGAGAGCTCAGTGCTGGTTGTATCCAGCCCACAGAAGGCACACCAGTCATTTACAACCATCCCTGCTGCAATCACCTCGCTGCCACGATTCACCGTTCCAGCCTAGCGGAAACAACACAGCACGAGTTCACAGGGTGTGCTGACATTTTGTTACACATCCTTACTACAAGACTTTAGTGGAGGGTGTCAACTCGCACTCCTGAAAGTATTAAAGCTTCTGCCATCAACCAAGTTCTGAAGATTTCACATAAAAAGATGGATGGACAGCCTTTAATCTCTGGAGAGAAAAGTTTTGTCACATCCAGTGAAATAAAATCACCAATTGGAAGGATAAAGGCATAGCAACCATAAAATTCACAAATCCAATTGAGCAGGAACAGGATTTTGTTCCTTAACGGTTTTAAACCCTGCCTTTGGCCAAACCACAGCCAGCCTCGCCTTCTCTGTATGAATCAGTCAGCACAACCTGCATAATCCCAGCACAGCAGTATTTCAGAAGCAAACCAAAGGTGCTGAACAGTTTATTCACATTCAGAAAATACAGGGAAAATGCCTCAGAAGACTTGCCCTCTTCCAGTTTCCCACTTGGAAGAGCTGCAGAGAAAACAGTCCCTAGGCGCCCACAAGAAGTAGAAACATCAAAACTGAGAACTGTGTGGGAAAGGAGTGGCAAGAGAAAACACAAACCCACAGATGCCTTACCACAAGTGGGACCTGGAGCAACGAAGACAGTTCATCCTGATCATCAATTGAAGTTTTGGGGTGCACAATTCCTCCTTGGTTACTAAAAACACAGTAGCTTCCTACCAGCACCTGATCTGCTACTGTTTGTCTGAAAACCTCAACCTTCAGTACATCTGCCAAGATCTCCTCTGTCTCCTGCAAACAGAAAATTAAGTCCTCAGCAAAACGATATCGCAGAATTTGAAGTCAAGCTATTCCTGCATGCCACCATCGGCTGGGATCCTTCCCTTTGAAGGGCCATCCACACTTTCACAACCCATTGCAATCCAGTCATTGTAAAATGCTTGCTCAACCTCTGTACTCCAGACATTTTCAGCATACGCATACCGAGCTGGGCGACTAAACACAACACCATGCCGTTATTGAGAAATGCTTTCTTCTCCCCTCTTTCTGAAGGACGTTGGCAGTACATCAGCTGTGTCAATACCTGTTCTCTAGCCATTCTTTGTGAACCCGTCCTCCCATTCAAGTTTTCACTGTGAATTATTTTGATTTCTCCCTCTCTAGCCATCTTACCTTACTTTGTACACTTTTTTAAAACATAATACGCTGCAAAGACCATTACCTTCCCCCATCCCACTCCTTTTTTTCCTCCCTTTGCAATCCTAACACCAAATCACATTTCTTCATCACCTGTAGCACAAACTGAAAGCAAACACTGGAAGGGCCTTCACTACCTGCAGCCACACAACACACCTCTCTAATGCTATTAAAATACCAGTTCTCAAACATAAAGCAGTAGCAGCTTTGTCTCCTTTGCCCTTATTTTAAAATTTCATATAAGAACCTTCCATTTTTCTTTCACCCGTCTGTAAACACGCACACCACCACAACCATGGCCTCTTTCAACTATCAGAAATTTCAGCTAGCTGAACAGTAGCTTCCTACTGCTGCTGTAGTCCTGACTAAACTCTTCTTTATGCTCTGCTTATTACACAAACTCCCTTTTATTCACTCAATTTTACATATGCAAAGCAAATTAGACCTGACAATGTACTTCTGCATCCTACTCCTGCCCTTCTACAGAAAGCATTCACTACAGCACGCTGAACAAGAAGGCACATGCTATACTCGGGGCAGGGTCCACATCCACACATGAAGATCCACAGGAAAACAGGCAGATCAACTGAAACCAAGTTTGCTTGTAATCCAATTCCGACTTCTCTCTTGAGAGGAAAGGAAACGTGAGGCAGCACAGTCTCCTGTGTGACAACAGCTCAGCTGTTAACATAGGTCTTCTGATCCTCACGCTACATACAGCAACCCTCAACAACTACAACCCCAAACTGCAGTCTGGCAATTGTTTCACATGCATCCACTAAAATTTTAAATGCATTATAGAGCTACATACCCTGTCGAGATCTGGATGAACAAGAGCTACATAGTCATTGCAGGTAGTGACATTGCCCATTTTTCTACGCGTTGAATTCGTACAGAATCTGGAAGACTATTGCGAATATGTTGAAGCTCTTGGTCTGTTGTACTGCTTGGGACCAACAGTCCATGTCTGTTTCCTAAAATGACCAAAAAAGAAAAAAAAAGGAAAGAAAAAAGGGAAATTAAAAATAAGGATGTTTCCACAGGGCTTCCTACTTTTCTTATGTTTATATAATGCCTTGAATTGCACTTGCCCCACCCACTCCTCCCAAGCCTGAAATTCAGCCCAAGAGAAATAACCTTACCATTTAAAAATAACAGCACAGGTAAGGGAACCCCAGGATGAAACACAGACTTATTTCTGAGTAGAAATGGGTGACTGGCATTATGTTTAATCACTTCCCTTTTCCGACAGAACTAAAGGAAGCCTGAGGTTTTCAATGAAAAACCTTGACTACGAATTTCCTCTACAGCCCCACAAAATGTACAGATGTTGCTTGTCTGCACTACTTTACTGTGGCAAAGCAGGAAGATAGGTGTGGCAAAGCAGGGTGTTCTTTTCACAGGAACAAAACTCAAGCAGAGTTCGACTGACAGCATAAGGCCTCACTAGCGAGAGACTGAACAACAACTTTTCTCTGG